TCATAGTCGAAAACAGTTGCAACTTCATCTTCCATTAATGCTATATTTTGTAGATCCTTAACCACCTTCATAGGATCACGTGCAACTAGAGTATCTGTGTCTAGCTGAGAGGATAAATACTCATGCAACCTCTTTTCTAACACAAACGTGGGACCTCTGCATTTCTCTACAACCGGTCTTATTTCTTTACCGGTTTTATGCACCTTAGCGAAAGCAAATAACCTAGGTGTTCCAGGTCTAGGGTTCCTGCACTTCTTGAGAAAAGGCAAAGCTTTGGAAAGTTTAGAGACCTCTAGCTTCCTGACCCTTCTATCCAAGCTTCCAATAAAATTGCTGTTGATCTTTTCACACTCTGTCTTTTCGATGTAATCCATTAGTGCCTCGTTATACGTATGCCTTTTCATGATGACTAGTTGTTTACTTTTATCTGCCCTAGTCAACACCAAATGCAGAGGTCCCACGTTTGTGTTAGAAAAGAGGTTGCATAAGTATTTATCCTCTCAGCTAGACACAGATACTCTAGTTGCACGTGATCCTATGAAGGTGGTTAAGGATCTACAAAATATAGCATTAATGGAAGATGAAGTTGCAACTGTTTTCGACTATNGTGTCCATTCCTCATCACCCGGCCGCCGCATTGTTGATCTCGCCGAACTCAAAACGGGTTTGTCAAAAAATGATTCTCAGCGCCCAAAGGCATTAAGATTTCAAAGAGGAAAAGAAACCTAAATGAGTCAGTTTCCCATTATATTCTCGAGGAAGGTGTGTTTCCATTGACAGATTGCGTTGCGTTGTATTACTTATTCCATTAATCAAATCCATTAAAATCATAATTACAACTGTTTCAATCAACATATATATTTATAAAGACAAATCAAAGAGTATTTATTAATGTTAATTTTGAGTAAAAGTCGTTAGATAAAGTAGAATAAATCTAATTGCTAGGAGAATTGCTAAGAAATTGAAACATCATTATAGAATAAGAGATGGCTACACTGGCAATAGTCAAGAGAAGATTCCCGTTAATAGCAAATACTCCACATGCAGAGAAACAAGGAATATCTTGCATGCAACTGAGCATAAATCTAAACGCACATTCTTGAGTCGTAATTCTGCAATGAGTTGAAAGTCGATAAGTTTCAACGGCCAAGATTTTGGCAGCTGATGTCATACGTGAAGAGGAAAGGCAAACGTCGACGAAGTACAAGAATGGGAAACAGAAAAATGGTAGAAACATGAACATGAATTCGAAGGAATCGTCTAAAAGAATACTAAAACGACTGACACTTAAAGTAATATTACCTGCAACAAAAATGGTCCAAATAAACAAAATCGCTGAATATATCTTCTGCATTGCATTTATTACGCTAATTGATTCCTCGTAAATTTCGGAAACAGATGAAATTTCTTTCTGCACATTTTGACAATTCTGAATTTTGTAATGTAAAACTTTGAATCCATTTTCAAGTTCTNGAATAGGAACTAGTTTCTCTTAATTGAAGTTTTTGAGAAAGCATTTTCCCCCGCACTCATATTGGCCATTGTACAACGACGGCCCTTCAGTCACCTAGCGATCAAATAATGCTATTTGGAGTAAAGAGTGTATCTGTGCTGAATACTCCATATGAACAAAACAAAAGGATATCGGGTGAAAATGATAATTACTTTTGCGTGTAAAGGCAAATGAGGAATGCCTAAGTAAAAATTCGTTTATAACCCTCAATTTTTTTAGGCATTGAAATTTTTTAAAACGTGTTTATATTTATAAAAGAATAAATATTTAAATTTTAATATGAGTATGTTTTTGTTTATTTATATATATATCTTGATGTAAATAACCAAAATTTTAGATATTATTATTGTCGAAATTTTTTAAAATATTGTAATAATTTTAATTTGTTTTAGCACATATTCAATGTAAATTTGCTAAAGATAAACCTTCAGGTCTTAAACACAAATATAATATGTACATATGAATTACCAGGTGATCAATAAAAATTGTTCTTTATGATTAAGACTTCCTCATTTTGCAAAAACAAAACACAATATAATAAATCCTAGTAAATATAAATTTGATTTGATTCATGTTCTACGAGAAATTTCTTATAGAAATCAATAAAAATGAAGATAAGTACAAATATAAACGATTGCACTGAAAACAATTACTTTTGCTTTTTTCAAGTTTTCCCATTTAACTATTTGCTGCTTCACACCGCTAATCGCCGATTATTTATAACTATTTAAGACAAAACAAGCCAGGAAGTCAACGGTTATCGGGATTTATACGATATATATAAATACTTGCTTTAATTAACTACAATAGTTATGGCTTAAAACCGAAGAAAAGTAACATTATAAGATTTATAAAACAAATTCGAAAAGTTATTGTTGAAATAATATTTACGAAAGTTTGTATTCGTTGACACGCAAATAATTTTGTCTGTAATTTCTGTGTAAAATTAATTAAAATAAATGTTTCATGAAGTCTGACAAAATTTATAACGACGAAAATTTGTAAAACAATATATAAAAAATCATTTTACAATCTCTTTTACATTTTATTTTTATTTAGAAAATTGTTTAATTTTTGTTATAAGAAATTCTCATTTAGAAAATTTATGAAATCTTTCGTTTAGATTTTTTAACAAAAACATTTTACAATTTTACATATTAAATTAATAATAAGTTAAAATATTATAACAACGATAATTTATTTTTTAACCTGTTTTTATATAATATTCATATGAAACAAGTAAAACGACAAAACCGAAAACTTCCTGTTTGTCAAAAAAAATAATCTGTTGTATCGTCCGAAATTATTTTTTTATTTCGCACAAACAATATACAGTTCAACTGGATTATAACGTTATCGGATGTAACGACAACCCTAATATAACGTCAAATTTTTATCCGTTCCACGATTTTACTATACTAAATCAGTGTTTTTCAACCTGTTTGTCCCAACTTCCATGGGGGTCGAGAAGTCTTATACGGGGGTCGCGGGTAAAAGAATAACGCAAGTGTTTGTAGGTCCTACATTACAATAAAAAAAATACAATCTCAGTGAGAAGGTTGCGCTTGTTTATTTTACAGAACAATTAGTTTTTTTTTATCGATATTTCGGTCTGAACAGAAAGAAACTTAAATACGTAATTTATATATCACTGACATTGTTTTAATATGGCTCTGTGGGTCGCCAGAAGTTTTTAACTTGTAAAAAGGTCGCTTATTCAAAAAGGTTGAAGAACACTGTACTAGATAATGTTAAAAAAACCCACTTGTAACGACATAAAACCGTTTTAATGTCATATTTCAAGCACTCCCAAATATACAAAATTAGATTACAAATTTTTTTTTAACATAGAAGAAACTACGTTTTCAGTCCTAACGTCATAGTTCACTTCTTAGTATGACTGTGGGTGGTACTCTCCCCCACCTGACTTCAGTTAGATGAGATGCCTGTTTTGCCTGCTTTTAGAAGAGGGTCGTTATTTTATATTTTATTTGACTCGGTTCTCAATCTCCTGACTACTTACGAGTCTGGATTTTTTATGCGCAAATGATTTTGGCACATAATAACCTAATACTCTGAGCCAATATCAACACTCGACATGTACTTCTTCATACCTCTATGCTGGTAACATAAAACGACAATACGATTTTATAAACAAGACATAGTCTTGTAAAAAACCACAGAATATCTATATCCATTTTAATTACATCTTCATTTTTATAAAGTCTTGGTTTAAAATTGTCATATTTGTTGTAATGACCCCGATAGATTACCATCATTTTTATACCCATAAGGTAAATACAACTTACGTAAGAAATTCGGACAATTTTTTGTACGGTTTATATCTATCATATGAAAAACAAAATTGTAAGGAATTACAAACAGAGGTTCGTTTCTTGGAGTCTAATATTCTTTAAACTTTTTCTTAATTAATTATATTTTAAATAAACACTCAGTAATATAAATTTTGAATGTATAGAAATTAATTAAAATGATAATATTATTGATAATACGTTAATATTAAATAAATAAATGCAATTATATAAATTTTTAAAATATATTGAAAACTAATCTAATTGTACGTACTATAATATATAAATAATTATCACGGATAGTGTTACAATTTTATTATGTATTTAGTTAACTTAATTAAATTAATTGTTTTTAAAATAAATTATTTTATTGTTGTAAAATTTATTCTTAAAGTTTATTGATCACAGGGTATGAATTTGATTTGGAGAAATACACTTTTTAATGTTATTATTATTATTATTATTATTGCTACTGTACAATTTGAATTAAATTTTTATAATTTATAATCGTATACTTTAATTTCATTTTATTAAGTAATTTTTTTTTATTTTAAAAACATAAGTTACATTTCAATTCAATTACAATATAAATTTTAAAAATTATATTTTTACAGATTTCACTTTAACAATTGTGAAATTGTTAATATTTAATCTGTTTATAACATCAGAGTTCCATTTCTGACGCATCTCTCTGAACTTTCTCAATATGTTGCGTGTGATGAATTACTCATTTCCTTTTTATTAAGTCACATTTCTTGTTACCAAAGCATATGATGATAGAAGTCAGGAATGACTTTTTTCAGCAACGAAGGGCACACGACATTCTCAAATTGTAATGAAAAGTCTGAATAATTTCGATAATAAAGGAAAAAAATTAAATTAAATTTAGAACATCAATTGAAAAAGTCATTTTCGTGCAATATTGCTGTTATTACAAAAAGGCCTCAATTTAAGATTACTTTATCTATAACTAGGGACACATCGACTCAAACTGAACAAAACTTTTTAATTTACGACTATTTCGTATCAAGAAAATGGACATCGCTGTCAAATAAATCAAATTTCTGAATACGAGACTCAATTTTTCAATTATTTTTCGTGCCAAATAGATAAACGTTCCAAACACTTGGTAATTAGTCAAGATTTCTGCCTGAGTAACAGGCTGGAGAATTTGCTTGCGTGTCTAAAGCCGAAATAGAAGCGACTGGAGTGACACCCTACCGCTCTTGGATCCAAGATCCAAAAAAACTATAGGAATTTTTCGGGTAGTCCGTTCGGATATATTGTGTCCATTCCTCATCACCCGGCCGCCGCATTGTTGATCTCGCCGAACTCAAAACGGGTTTGTCAAAAAATGATTCTCAGCGCCCAAAGGCATTAAGATTTCAAAGAGGAAAAGAAACCTAAATGAGTCAGTTTCCCATTATATTCTCGAGGAAGGTGTGTTTCCATTGACAGATTGCGTTGCGTTGTATTGCTTATTCCATTAATCAAATCCATTAAAATCATAATTACAACTGTTTCAATCAACATATATATTTATAAAGACAAATCAAAGAGTATTTATTAATGTTAATTTTGAGTAAAAGTCGTTAGATAAAGTAGAATAAATCTAATTGCTAGGAGAATTGCTAAGAAATTGAAACATCATTATAGAATAAGAGATGGCTACACTGGCAATAGTCAAGAGAAGATTCCCGTTAATAGCAAATACTCCACATGCAGAGAAACAAGGAATATCTTGCATGCAACTGAGCATAAATCTAAACGCACATTCTTGAGTCGTAATTCTGCAATGAGTTGAAAGTCGATAAGTTTCAACGGCCAAGATTTTGGCAGCTGATGTCATACGTGAAGAGGAAAGGCAAACGTCGACGAAGTACAAGAATGGGAAACAGAAAAATGGTAGAAACATGAACATGAATTCGAAGGAATCGTCTAAAAGAATACTAAAACGACTGACTCTTAAAGTAATATTACCTGCAACGAAAATGGTCCAAATAAACAAAATTGCTGAATATATCTTTTGCATTGCATTTATTACGCTAATTGATTCCACGTAAATTTCGGAAACAGATAAAATTTCTTTCTGCACATTTTGACAATTTTGAATTTTGTAATGTAAAACTTTGAATCCATTTTCAAGTTCTCTGCAAATCAGTGCAAAGAAAACGAAGAGAAAATTGTTAGGCATCAAAAATAATGTAGGATAACCTACATACATGAAATAAGAAACGAAGGAAGAAACATTTTCTGAAATTTTATACGAAAACATGGTCTGAATATTCCAAAATTGATAAAAGTCGCTATGTTTTTTCATGCAAAACATCAAATATGACAAATTGTACAAGAGAAAGTTGATCCATAGAAAGATGATCCTTTTTCGAAAATGTTTCTTATCAGATCCATCTTCAAGTTCTAATTTTGATATTCGCAATGCCTTCTTGATCAGGTCATACAGCTTTTGCTTATTATAGTGGAAATGATATATATTTACCGAAGACACTAGAATGGAAATGGCTATGAAGGTGGAGAGCAGTGTACTCGTTGGATGCGATTGTTTCGTCGTAAATCCAGTAGACTTGTGATAAATCAGGAATATTAAATATAATTTTGCCATTATTAACATAAATGCGCCGTAATTATTTAATTTTTTCTTTGTCTTCAAGTTTAAACCCCAAACTTGAAGATTTTTGAGGAAATTTTTCCATTTCTGATCGAAGCCATCGAGCGATTTCGATTCCTTGGCAATTTCTATTATACAAACACGATTCATATTATGTAGGCTTTAAACTTTGAGTCTTATAAGCAAGTTGGATACAAACAACAAGCCTTCTGTTGTCCTACTAAAACGGTTTTGTTTCTTATGTTTTTCTATTCGTTCACTACAATCGATTGTATGCATGAAAGTAAACTAATAAGAGGTGTTTGTATCGGATATTCTGAGGTAATTACAAGTGACAAGCAGCTAAGTAAACAAGCCTATGACAGTTTTTTTAATGCACCATTTTACTGACTTGTTTACTTAGCTGCTTGCCACTTTCTTGCATCCAGAATATTCTTTGTACATTCATCCACATGAAAGAACTAATTATTTCCATCTCATTATGTAATTTGCATCACTCTTTTGTAAGTTTGTTTTATGTAAAAAATAAAATATGTGTGTATTTACTAAGTAAATATTTTATTAAATAAATTACTTTTATACTTTACTTGCAAAGCCATCAATTTCTGAAAAGTTTTCAAGGTTCTTTACAAAAAATCGTATGTATTCAGAATTGTTTTGTTCATCCAATAATGAGGCTGCTATGAAAATGTTTTAAACTTTCTTATCATTATAGACATACGAAGTTACTAGTGTGAAATTCGAAATTATAAACGTATTTAACCCTTTAAATTTTTAATAAAGTTAAGTTCCTTTAACCTAAGAAACTTGACCCTAAAGAAACGAAATATAAAATACATGAGAAAATTTTAACTCTTTCTATTCAACTATAAACATTCTCACGAAAAACCGTGTATTGTTTATAAGTATCGGCGAAATTCGTCAAGTTGTTGTCATGTTAACACCAACTTTAACCCCATACCTGCTAGGACAATTGGTCCATTGACGAATTTTCCCACCAAAAGGGTATAAAAGCCCGTCTCCTTCCCCTCTCGGGGGAGTGACTGATCAGGGAGTTGCCGACAGACGGCCAAGACAGACCATCGCTTCCCTCTGACCTACCGTACAACATTTATCGGAAGACCTGGTATTTCAACTCGATCAACCTTCCAGAAAGTAAAAGCCCTCCAAAAATAATTGAAAGAGGTATGAACGCTTTATTGTAAACTCTCTCTCTCATACGCGAATTAGAAAGAGTTTTGTAAATTTAAGTTCGTTAAGTAGTTAAATAAACTCTTGTTTGTTTTTCATGGTGTCTTTATCCGACTATGCCGCGTCTTATCGTCGACCCCTCTGACACTTCTCCACTCGCGTAACACGTAACTGAACGAAACGCCATCTTTCACAAGAAAGTAGGTCACCGACTTGTGGCCGGAAGGAGAGGACTTCCCAACCACCCCTCCCGGCGGCTCACAAATTGGTGTAGCAGGAGTGGGGTTTCGAACTCAAAATCCCTAGAAATATCACACTAGCAATAAATAGGATCGGCCATAAATATGCCTCTAAAATAAGAAATATATTTGCATGCATCTCTGAGAGACCAAGTTCGAGTTCCGACAAACTCTTTAACACTTTTCGTTAGTAATTTAACATGGATATGTCAAAATTGTGCGTCACTAATCTGGTCACTCACTACGATGGACCATTTAAAAAAAATTCTTTTAGAACCCATAAAAATGAATTATAAAAATATTTTTTATAAGAGAAAATTAATACATTACACAAGAGCCGAATAAATTAAAACTATTGAATAGTAGTAGTTGGTGAAAAAACCAAGTCTGGCCGCTTGGCATTTTCCGAATTTCGTTTACCACCTGTCTGAAATAAGGGCCAGTTTTCTATAGAACGTCAATTTGGTAGGGATCCCCCTTGGTAGGTTGTCTTTGTTTAGCATTTTCTTATTTCATAAATCTAATTTATATATTAGTTGCAACTCCATATACGAAAAGCTATTTCATAGGATTTCTATTATTGTCAAGATCAGTACAAGGTCCTTAAAAATTCATGTCGCAACTTACGTATCTTCAACCGATATTTTCAGCCGATCCTTTGCTGCGACGTCTTTTCAAAAATGCTTGACATAATTGTGCTCGCCGTTTGCCTTTACTCAATCAGTCTTCTTCTCTTCTCTCAAATTTTCCATAACTGTTGGTTTTCTTTTTTATCCGATTAGTTTTATCCATATATCAGCGGCTGCTACATGACCAGTTCATCTATATGGCAAGATTAGTCGTGCAGCAGCCGCGGACAATACCTTCAGCACATGGCCACCTCCAGTCATAGGATATCACATTGCGCGATTTTTTCCGTGGAGTTTCGTCAAGGACAATGTTTTACGTCCTTGCACTTTCAACGATTTTGCCGGAATCGAAACAGCGCATTCACACCGCCATCAGGATCGTGACACAAGATACGCTCGAGGTTTGGCTAGAATGTGAATATCGTCGAAACATATGTCGGGCCTCAAATGCATTTGAGATTAGTAAATAACTGCAAATAACCCTCTTTCAAATGGTGGTATTATCACGTATTTCTGTTCAATATTGGTGGATATATAATCTCACGTAACTGTCCGATAATTTGTGCACACCGTGTATAATACAACTAAATTTAGCCTATCCTTTCTTTTAAGATCGTGTAATAGGATAGGAGAGTTTGAATTTTTTTCTAAAGGCATCTCTTATTCGAACACCTTCCATAGAATTTCAGTTTTTAAATGAATTTACAAGAAAAACAATTCTTTAGCCATTCAAATTTCTTTAGTTGAAGCATTTTTATGGGCGATTTTCATGAGATTTGATTAACATTCTTTAAGTGAATCGGTATAAATTTTATTTCAAAGAATGGGTATATTAGAGATTTTTGTGCTTAGGATCTTCAAGCAATAACCATAATGGAATTATTTACAAAAAATATTTATGAAAGCATTCATTAAACATGTCTTTAAATCTCTGTTTTATTAACATATTAACCGGTTAAAATTTATAAATATTTTAGAAAGTAAGAAATAAATGATGATAAAAATATTAAACTAACTCAATTTGCATAAAGTTAGCTATTTTATTGTAGACACTTCTTTTATTTATTATCTTAAATGTCATTTTAAATTTCTTATATTTCTTACTCCTTCTAAATTATTAGAATGAAAAAATATCAAAGAAATTGATCTATGTAGGAAACATTCATATGCAAATGATGTTGATTTGCAATGTGCCAGACACTTTTCTCTAGGTTTGAACGATATAAAAGGAAACTCGAGGTAACGCTCGATACCTTTGCGAATCTCCTGAAACTACTTTAATTGAATAGAGATCGAGCTTAGAGATGGAAGGAGAACAGAAAAAGATCAATGTTTTCTCTCGTCTGATGGATTTTCCTGTCTTTGCTACCTGTTTTAATTGGATTAAAGGAAAGTATGAAGAAAGTAAAAATTCGAAAGCATTTGGAGAATTTATTGTTCGAATGGAAAAAGTAATTGTTGAGACCTCGGAGAGAATAAAACCAGTCTTGCAGAAAATGGATACTCAAAGTAAGTACTTCAATAACTCATTAACTTCATTTTCGCTAACGCATTTGTTTTGATAGTTTCAGCACTCGATGAATTAGCCGTAAAAGGTTTAAACAAACTGGAAGAATATTGTCCAATTACTAAAAAACAACCTGCTGAGGTATAAATGTTTAAAGTCGAACGTCTATTTTATTTACTTCTTTAAGTTTAATCTCTTCTGTTTTTCCTCCCAGATCAAAGATGCAATTGTCACTTACGTGGACGAACTAAAAAGAAGCGGAAAACTAAATGCCTATTGGACTGTATTTCATACAACATGTAAGGAAGGAATAAACATAATTCAAGAACTTCTAAATAGCTTCTTCAAGGGTAAGATGGCCATGTCTATAATTACTTCTGTCGTGGATTTCCTCTTGCCTCCCTTGAAGGACGAAGGTAAGCACGACTACTTTTGTAACAGTTTTTTTCTTTTTCCCTACGTAATTTATCTTCCAAAATACTTCAGCAAAAATCGAGCCCACTTCGACTTTTGAAGATCTGAAAACTGTAATGTCGAAATGCGTAAATAGACTTCGTTTCTATGGAAAAGCGATGATATCCAAGGACACGGCAAGTTTTAAGTCTTTTCATAAACTTAACGTAAACGTTTTAGTTACGAAGGTTTATAACTTTTTTTTTTCTTTTCTCCTGTAGGAACTCTGCTGGACCGACTTTCCTCTCTTAACAACATTGCCTGCTATGCTATGGGGTATTCCTGTCGTACTGTACTACGAAATGATTATGGCTTTCTTGGTCTCTATAAAATAATCTTGCATGTACTCTAAACTTCAATAAACTTGCTTGCATTTGTTACTTGTGTGGTATTTTATTTTTGTTTTGGTAGGAGACAAACAACTACCTATTGCGGAGAGAGAACTTCCCTCTTTATAATCTGTCTTAGGGTTAATCCTTTTTCTTACAGAGAAAGGATATAAACACATTTTTTTAACAATACATAAAATGGCTGAAAAACAATTAAGTATGCTGAAGAACATAATAACCAAGTAGTTAACCGTTTATACTAACTCCTTCCCAGTTGACAGTAAAAATAAAATCGGCAAAGATTAAGTTAAACCGCTATCGTTCTTATGTGAAGTCTTCTAGAAACAATAAATTTGACTCTGCATTGCAATTATTGCTGCATTTTGCAAATTAAACATTCTTTCCTGTGTTTTTTTTTTTTCCTCCAACTTTTCCCACAGAAATCCTGTTATTTTAACCCGGTTTTTTAAGTTACTGTATTTTTACGCATTATTTTCACGAATTGACTAGCAGTGAACTTATGGAGTTTCAAGGAAAGGATAAATATTAGATTTTTTCTAATATTACTCCCTTTCATCCACATTAACGACCCCTCGAATACACAAAGTGAATAGTGTTTTGTATAAGAGTAACAATAGGGTTTTTTTCCACATTTTAAAAAAAACATAAAATTTGACTTTCAGTCCGTTTTTAAAAGAATTCTGCTCTTGCATTTTATCACATTTTAATCACACTTTCTTATGGGCAAAAATGTTTAAAATCTGAGACCCAAACTCATTTTAAGACGAATTATATAAAGACACTGATGACGATCTCTTATCTATCGTTTGTGTGGCTGCTTTCTTTACTCGTACCAGTTTCTTCCTGCCTTTCCAACATCGTCTAACATTTCATACAACGTGCAGTATAATAGTGAAGCTCCTATACAGACTTAGGCAATTCATCCCGTAATCACAATTTAACAGGATTTAAAGTCTTTATTAACAGATTATACATCAATTTGTTATATTCATTAATATAATTGATAGAAACGGATAGTAAAGGTGTTATCTTATCGCTTTGGTAGACGTGCATTCGAGTGTTGGTGAGGCCTTTATGGGCCTGGTCGAACTCGCAATGGGTATTGTCAGGAATGTATATATAATTTTTTTAATGTAATTAGATGTAAAATTGAGAACAGGGTCAGCAGAAAAGTGGCTCGCAAAAACGGGAAGCATGGAAAACCGGCACTAGCTAATGCTAACCAAATCAATTAAAATGAATTAAATAACAAACTCTATGGAGTTTGTTATTTTTAAACACAGAGACGCAAACAGCGGGAAAACAAACAGTACATGTGTAATATAAAGTCCCTCTTACTGCCTTTAATTTACTCTGACCTGAGGGACACTAGGAAGCCCTTTTAATCATATTCATTGTAAATTCGGCCAGGCTCAGAATAGTAGCTGACAGGGGGATGAGAGACTGAGCCCGACATATGCAGTACAAATCGTCTATGAAAAATTCTTCGGGTTACACGCCCAGGTTCTATTCTAGTTCCCAGAACGGTAGAATTTAATGGCACCAGTCAACTATTACTGTATTTATCAAACAAACAAATTAAATACATTAAAACCTGTCTATGGTTCCTTCACCCACCCACCGTTCCTTCAAAAAATGGTCTTTTAGACAGGTAGTAGTCCAATACAGATGGTGCTGTAATACCGTATTACCGTACTTATTTTGCGCACTTTTTTGCCATTTCTACTAAGCAAAATTCGAGGCGAGCAAATATAAGCGGATTTTTTCAACGATCGAGCTATATTGGTAATGTATTTTATTCTTATCGGATAACACTTTTTACGGGAGTCTTAGGTACTAACTAGTCTAATACTGTAGGTCTTAGGTAAAACCAATTTCGTTTTCCTCAGTTAAACTTTGCCGCTAATTGCTATTGTGATAACTTTAACACGATCTTCTAACGAAAGCACGTCGCATTTCTTTCGTTTTTCGGTAAACTGAAATGAATTTCCTTGGTTGCTAGACTAATTCCTTAACACCTGCATCTAATTTCGAGGGTGGGAGAAGTGCCACGAGGTGGGTTCGAACGAGAGTTTAGACTAATTCATTATATTAGGAAGGGGGAAATGTTGTCGAACAATAGTTTAGACTAGATATATTCGCGGAAGTAGTCGCTTATTACAGTTGTTATATGTTGTTTCGGACCAAAAATCGATGCCCGCGGTTGCGTTACACGGGTGGTGGTTTAATACGGGTAACCTTATACGAAGACTCTATGGATAAACTATTCGGTGCCAGAAATTTTTGCCCGTTTTGACAGGTGCCTGTCGAATGCGGGTGGTCGCCTAAGCAGTTTTCACTGTACATGAAGTTATTATATATACAGTACAAGTATATAATACCGTATACGTTATTAATCGTGTTAAATACCAATATCTTCAATCAATCAACAACCAAATTTAATTACATTAAAGAAATATCCTGTCCATCTGAGAAATTTTATTGTAACTCAAAAATAAAATTCCGAACAACAGTATCTCTTTACTAAGATTACCATATGTCTTCATTTATGATGACACATCCTTATTTTGAGAGTAAAATTTACTTAATTGAGTAGCGTTTCACTTCCATCATTACATTTTAAAGATCATTTCGTTTCGGATCTTGTAGTTAGCCTCGTTTTTCGGTTACACCAAATGGCGGGTAGTATTACCTTTCCTCGTGTGTTTATTATTTATGGTAATCTATAATTTATCCATCTAAAATCATGGGTTACATTACTTCCTCGAAGCACAATAGTGAATTATAAAAATAAACTTGGTATTTGCTACGAAAACGAAATTGAGTTCAGCTGTTAAGGTTTTTCTGTTTCGGCTTGACACGAAAACACAAATATGGCGACAAGCTTATAAATTTCTGTATAAAACCTGCAAGTTCGAGGAAAGTTGATGATTCTTATCGCCATTATTAATTGACAAATGCTTAAAACACGTACAGTACATGTGCAGCCGCAAGATACGCGTGAGTGTTTTGAAAAATTGATTGTGTCACGGCATCGGCCATGCAAACTTTTACATATTTGCAAAAATTCATGTTTAATGGTCGCGCGATTGATGAAACTTCGATCATAGACAAAACGTCTGACTTATGCAGAGTTTCGCTTACCCTGTGTTCAATTAAATCTAGTAAAAATATACGTGGACTCAACAATAATTAATTAAAAAACATGGATGGCCTTTGCTTTCTGTAAGGCACATTAAATTTTTTCACGCTGCGCCTACTGGGCATTTTGTTAACGATACAGAAAACACTTTTAAACGAAATAGCTTAAGTCACAAGGCTTTCTAAAGGTTGATCACAGTGTATTATATCGAAACTCCTGCACAACCAATTCTGTTTTCGGGGTATTCGATCCGATCACCTAATTGGTTGAAGTATCCTCATTTTGATGTTTCGCAATAAGGTAACTGTAGTCTTTGCAAATTATTTACTATAGCCAAATGACAGGCGTGTTTCATCTTCAATTTTTTTGACAATATATTACATTCAGCAATTTTAGAATTTTTTGTTAAAAATAAGTAAACAATGATGATCTCAGCGATTTACTTCTAACACCGTTGAACATCGATAGATTGTGGCGGATTTGCCCTTTACCAATAGTCTGTCCACGTGAAGTTTTCCGGGTTTTCATCGCGTGTTTAACACCTAAATAGGGGCCAGTTTCCTAAAGAAACACCCCTGGCTGATCATTGACGCATTGCATTGCTTTATTACATCAATCCAAACAAATCCAACTTAAACTTATATATTATTATATGCAAATAAGTAAACAATTCGAATGTTTTTCCTAGAATATTTATAAATTTATTAATTAAATTATTCATAAAAGTATCTTTAAAATTATTTGAAAATTTTTATTATTATTTTTTCAAATATAATTGAAAATAGGTAAATAAGACGTAGTTTTAATTCTTCCAAGGAATAATATTTTTCCAATTAAAGTATTAAATATCATCCGATTCGAATAACTTGGCGTCATTATCAGCCTTATGGAAATTGAGGTGATTTGCATAAAGACACGCGAGGAAAGTGGCGTATAAAAGCACGGTCTCTTCGCTTCTTTGTTACAGTCGACATCGAGTGAAAGAAATATCCAAATAGAAGAAAGTAATGAGCGAAAGTAAAGTTATGGAGTCTCAGTTCTTTAATCAAGTAATGAAAATACCTTCAGTGAAGTATTCTTGGGAATTCGTGAAGGATTACTTCGAAGAAATTCGAAAGAGAGAATACCTTTCTAAAATCTTTGATGTTCTGGATGTGATCGTAAAGGAAGCCTATGAAAGAATGAAACCCTATGTACAAAAATTTGGATCTTTGGGTATGGTGCTTCATACTTCCACTTCTAAAATTATGTTCAGTCTAATCTAAACCCTTTATCTTTTTATAGTATTTAAACTCGACGGAGTGGCTGCCGTGTGTCTACAAAGTCTAGAAGAATACTTTCCTATCATTCTACGAAATCCTAGCGACGTAAGTATACCTAAATCGTGTTATCATTCTTTATTATTTTCTGCTGAATCTCTATTTTTCTAGATAAAGACCAGTATAGTCTCCTACTCGTTAGACTACCGCTCGATATTGAACATACGCTGTTACATCAGTTCTGTTCTCGAACTTGCCGTGAAATCTGTCGAAAGAAACATCATCCTTACCTCTCGTTACTTGCAGTTCTTGATGTCTTTGTTTTTGCCACAGCTTCCAAACGAAGGTTGGTTTCTACTTCTATCTAAAGTTTTTTTCTTCCCCTTCGTTTTTTATATCTGAACTTTTTTACAGAAGATCAAACTCCCACTACACGCCTAGGACGGGCATCCAATATATTCTATAAGATCAATCTTCGCTTACAACACGTAGGAAAAGATGATGCAGAGAGTAAACTTCCAACTGTAAGCTGATTTTATTACGTTTTTATCTAAATATTTATTTTTTTTTACAATACATTAACTTTTCTTTTTCCTTCTAGCCCTTAAAACCAGAAGACTTTCCTACCCCTCTAGGTAAAGCTGTTATTGTGTTCTTCTATGTTCCTGTTGTACTCTTCTACGAATTCGTATATTTCATGTACCAAAGTTGGGACGTTTGCAATGCATAGTTCCAGTACATTGTTAATTTGCTAATAAAGGATTGATTATTAATCAAACTTTTTTTTTCCTTGTACTAAAACGCGAATCACTCAAACCAATTGCTCGGTTCGCTTTTCCAGCCAGCTGTCTCTTCTTGATTATTCGTGAAATCATCGTCTTAATCATGAGCTTCAAATCATGTAATTAAAATCAGTATAAATAGGCGGTATCCGTTTGAAATCTTTACTTTTAACATACGTCGTCCTCCGGCAACAGTTAGACGATACCGCGGTTTTATTTCGTATTTGAAAAATGCGGTACCAAATGTATTTGCCATGCATTGTGTAATTCAGACACTTGGTTGCAAAACACCTTACTGTGGTGAGCAATTAAGGCGATCACTATGTAATTACAGCAGTTAACATGATTAGAAGCAAATGTTTCGAAGACACTGTGATGAAAACGACGAAAATTTCAATCTATTACTATTGCACACAGAACTTTGTTGGTTGTCAAAGAGTACCCGTTTAAAAAGATTTTGACCTCTGACTTGTTTTTAAAAAAACAGATGATTTGTTAAGAGAATTTATTAAATGAACTGTGTCATTCTTAAATTTTAACTGGTTTATATAAAAATTTAATGAAACGAATCTACGATCGCTAGTTGATTTGAATTTGATCAAAGTAAGGGTAAGAACTAAGAGTATATTTTACAAAATAGATTTCAGGATTTCCTTAACATCACTATTCCAGATTGGGTACTACAACCTTTCTCAAACCTACAAACAGCAGATTTATCACTGCAGGAGAAGTTGATATAATTGTTAACAAATGAAGAGTTGAAGCTGATATTTTAAAAAATGGATATCAAGAATTTTGGCTTTAAAAGCAAATTGCTGTATTGTATATCAAAACCCCTCAATTCCTATGTTTTTACATTTAAATGGATCATTACATTTTTGAACACGTTCAGAGATCGCCTGGACCCCAAAAAGTCTAAAAATTCCGTAGATATGTATGCATGTGTGTATGTGTTTGTTTGGAAAGTGATATATGATTAATAATATAAAAGTTATTTATTAAATAAAATCTCATAATAGCCGAGAAAGTTACGCATCTCATTGGTATATTTTCCCATTGAATTTTACATTGTGTGTATTATTTCTAAGCATTAATTTTCATTTCTTTTCTATATGTGATAAACCAAAAAAAAACATTCATTAATATATATATGAAATGGTTTTACACCTTGAATATTTTTATGACATTCATTAGTAATTTCTCGAATATTGGATGGAGTTATTTTGTATAGAAAACTCTATCGGTATTTTACTCAGTGATAATTTTTACAATTAGCAGGACGAAATACAGATGAAATATGGGTCACAACTCAAAATGATTTAAATGATGCTCATCTTCAACGAATTAAATAGTTGCAGCAACTTATTAAACATGTCAGTCATTTTTTCCTTTCAATCATTTTCATAAAAAAGTAATGAGCACATGAATTTCGTATAATTTATCGTCATCACTCGTCACTAATCAATTTAAATTAATTAAATGTCTCGAAGCTATAGCAAAAATTCACCTTTATTATTTATTGGTAAAGAAAAGTTGTGAGACGACAAGTAATTGAGTAAGGAAAAAGCTGCACATCTGCAAAATAAAAAAAATTACGTGGTAGTAGTCTATGAAAATTTTAGTAGAAGTGAATATAAATTTTCAAAATAAGTATTATACGTGCTTCATTACATTCGCCAAACCTACCTTTAAGATATTTAGTGTTGTTATATGATAAAATCCAAAAAATGACAAAGTTAATTCAGTTTCATTACACTGAATCAATGCGCTGTTTGCCTGTAATACATAATTTCTATTAGTAATTACAGTAAAATTCTATTGTTAATTATGATTTTCTAAAAGCTTTCATAAATCTGTTTAAATTACCAAATATACTCCGTCTAATCGTTCACAACGTAAGCAATGGCTGTAGATTTTCGAATATAGGGGATGCATCTAGGTATAGAAAATATATAAATTTCATATATAAGTATAAATACAAGAAAAAAAAATAAAATTTATAAGGTAAACATTTTATAATTGGGATTTTGTAAATGAAGGAAACTGAGATCAGCAGATGTGTTACGTATAAAAAATATGTATATTTTATTATCAATTTATTACGGTATGTATTGTCTGTTTTCTCTCCTAGTATGGTAAATACTAGAAATGAAAATTGGAAAGTGTATTTGTATTTACTACTTGAAAATTGCTGATTTAAAAATCTACAAGTTTTTCAAATGCAAACATCTAAATGATTCTATTGTTATAACTCGTGATTAATACCCAAGATTGGTAATTATATTAGTGGAAGGAAAATTATACAAAGGATAAAATTTTTTTATAAGAAATGTAATTAATTTCTAGAATATATAGTATATTGTTACGTTTAATGTAAATTAATATTTAATTTATATACTTACATATGTCGAAATAGTCGATAAACAATACAAGTATAGTAGTACTGCCGTTATGAGTACTAATAATATTATTCCTAGTACATACTTTGCAAATATTAACTTAGAAGTAAATAGAAATGATCCAAGTGAGAATTCAGCAATAATTAGTGTAATGGCTAGAGTAATAGAGTAGTCATTTTGAATAACATTGCAAAATTTAAGACTGTCTTTGCACTTTTGCAAACGTTGCCAAACAAGTTTGAAAGTAATATCTCGATATTTTTCTTCTATTAGATGAATTATTGAAAACATTTGCATCTTTTGTAATTCGCATAAGAAAATGAGAAAAATAATGTAAGCAATGTTATACAATGCAATGTATATAGACCAAATTGTATGTGAAATGATAGAAATACCTAATGTTATAGACCACTTATAATTGATATATGGTAAAAATATATATCGATATATTACCACATTATTCAATCCACCTGATGTAATTAAAATAATCCAAATACGAGTTAGCAATTCTTCAAGTTTTATGAACTTTTTCAGATGAAAAGCGACAAACGTTGATTCGTTCATAATTTCAAACCACAATTTTCGAGTTTTCAGGTAGAGCCGAATATATTTTTGTGAGTTCCAAATTATCAACGTTCTTAACATAAATAATGTCAGGAACAAGTGCATGATTCTCAGACAAAAAGCACTTTCTCCAAATGCACCGTAGACGTCACATAAATTCAACGCTAATTCTTCATCTCCTGTCGATAGTATAACAACATACTTGACAGTCTGAAGGAAGAAAAATGTTTTAAGACACACTCTGTAGAATTTCTTAAATGATCGCCAATTTTCGTTGCTGTTAGAAATATCAATTGCAAGTATTTTGAATAGAATAAATGTTTGTGAAAATACAATATCTGGGTCTATTCTATTGTTATTCATACTGTAAAACTATCATGTCTGATCATTTATTCTTATTCGTATATACATATACGAATAAGAATTTTTATTAGTATTCTTGAATATTCATTGAGCGAGAATGAATTTATTAAAAGATCGCATTAGTCTGCAGCAAACTGTCGGAGGATAATGGAAAAAGGCCATAAAATTCTTAATTAATATATTCATTAAGAAATAATTCCAATATCTCTTTCTATTAATGTATTTTTGTCATTATAATTTTATATTTCAACAATATATTAATCGATTTGAAGCTAATGGTTTGTAAATTAATGTAGAATTTTCCCATAATATTAACAGGAGATAATAAATCAAATATTTTTATTGGGGTCTAAGCGTTTAACATTAATATATCAAAATTCTATTCATGTTTAATGGCGCACTTCGGTAAAAGTACTTTTTAATTTAAAAATTCTTTATATAATATCTGCTATCAGCCGGTTTTAAAGTAAGTTTTACACGAAATGAGAGATATTGTGCAGTGAACAAATACTCCGAAAGTAGGCTATATAGCATTATGAATTTTATTCACTTCATTCGTTTTTCATTTACTGTTAATTAAAATACTATTTTAGTTATATACTGAATAAAAAGTTTTTAGACGGGACTAGGAGAATATATTAAGACCAGTCCTTCCTCATCCGCTGCTCATTGTATGCCCAGTCGAATTGATAATAGAACCAAAATTATTTTACAGCCCTTATGGGCTATTAAAAGAAAATAATCTTGGTTCTATTTCCTCAAGAGTGAAGCCAGATTCTGGGTATGAACTGAAGAATGCATTTTCAATTCTCACGGGGCAGAAACAGGAAAAAATAAATACAATTGTCGCTACAATCCAGGATCTCCACAGCACACTTTGGGTAAAAATCACTCTTATCCTCCTCGTCCATACAGCAATAAAGTTATTTCAGTTATAAAAATTCAGATATGAGAAAGAATATTTTGAAGTTTCATGAACTTTTTCTCAGATGAATAGTCATATAATTTGAATTTTTCATAATTTAAAATTGCTCAATAAAGTCATGAGATTGACAAAAAATAAAACATGTCAAATTAATAAAAATGAAATTTATAGCAGCAATGGGGCCTTAACCACCTCAACGTGTATCTCTAGGGACTCTGGTCCTAATCCAGGTTAGGATCTCCAGAAATTTTTCATAGTCAATCTGTCCTGGATACATCAAGTCCTATATGATTATAACACTTACGTGTTGTGGTGTTACAGGAGTGTAACGCCACAACATGTAAGTGTTGTAACACATCATGTAATAACAAAACATGTAACAATCATATAATAAACTTTGGTGTGAAGTGACATTGTATTATATCAAGTCCTATCTCTCACCACCAACTGTTCCCTTCAAGGATATTGCTGAACCCATAATTAATATAGAAAACAGGTTCTCTTGGTGCCCAAAGGGAATCTTTTGCAGAAAGAATTACTAATTTAAGCTTCCTGTAACATGGAGAACAGTCAAATACCAAAAGCACAAAATATACCAAAAAATTGGCCAAACCCAGCTTAAAAAAAATGCAAAGCAAAAGTACTGGTTTGGGGACAGGAACACAACTTGAATTGCAGAAAATGATGAAAATCAGTGTTGTGGAGTTGGATGTTTTTGGGCGAGTCGGTAAAATTCAACAAAGGA